ACCGATTTCGGTCGAAACCATTGTAAACCGGGTTTAATTAGGCCGATTTTGGTCTATACTGGACCAAACCGGGTTGCAGAGCATACCACCAACAATATGTCCTCCATAGTCCGGCAAATGAGCTCGGCTGATTTTGACGGATTTTGAGAAATTGGTCCGGTTAAGATTGAAGTCGGTCAAAGTTAATCTTTTCTTCTCTGAGTGTCATTTCGTCTTCCTTGTTTGGGAAGGCTATTTTCGAGTTTTTACAAGTTGGAAGTCGAAGAGTCGTATCGGTTTTGGTGGGAAATTGAATTTTCTGGAACCGACAAGAGCGCAAAAACCAAAAAGCCGTAAAGATTTCACTCCCTTTATAAATAGAAAGCAGTTCTCTTCATTTTCTCATTTATGCTCCCACTACTAAGGTACTCGCTCTCCCTTCTCTCTAGATCTCTTCTTTCTCTCTCTAGGTTTTCTGATCGTCATCCATCGATCGTGCTCTCCCGTCAGCAACATAGCTCCAATAACGCTCCGACCATATCTTCAGAATATTCCTCCAACTCCAGGTACGTCTTTCTGCCTGAGATCGCTGACCTCCTATCTCGGCTGAGTCTTCGATTTCAGCTACTGCAGAGAATTCTTCGAACGCTTCTGTGGTTCGGAAAAATTCTCGGGTAGTTGAGGTCAGATCAAGCAACCGGAGGGCTCCGGTCCGGGCACCCGAACTGAAGGATCAGGATCTTTGTGAGCTTGAGGGTCAATCTCTCGTTGATCTAGAGGTCGATCAAGATGTTGATGTCAAAACAGATTATAGCATCTCCAATGGTCCTTCAAATTTCACTTTTTCCTTCATTTTGAAGATAAAAATGAAGAAATCTTCTCCAATGGTGCTTCAATTTCACCTTCAAAATGAAGAAATGAACAGTGTTCTTTCAAATATGAAGGAACACTGTTCATTTCTTCATTTTTTGAAGGTGATTTTTTTTATTTACAAAATGTATCTTTAACTTTTTCTATGTTTTGATTTATACTCAAATACAATTTCTATGCTTTTTTAACCCAATTAATTTTAGAACAATAAACTTAACTAATCAAATTATAAAGTAAAACTACAATAAACACAATAAAAAATACAATAACATATATTAATTAAAAAAAATACAATAATATAGTCAACAACAAAATTAAAAATACATAATTCATAGTAAATTATAAATAATAAAACTTAACATAACATAAACTAACAACTTAATAATCTGGAAAACCACTTTCAGATCCATTAAAATTATTAAATTTTGTTGTAGAATTATTATAAATTAAATAAATAGGTGAGAGTTTATAAAACATAAAAATAAAGGATCTTGTTAGCAATTAATAATAAAATAGAGATGGAATATACTTAGAGGGAAAACGGCCGATTCCCACACGAACTTTGTACATTCTGAAAGTATATATACGAAATATTAACTCATGCCTATACCTGAATGAAATATTAAAATGCGACTAATTCCACCAAAATCGTTAACGAGATTAGATTTCCGTCAAAAATAATGACGTAGTTGACACGTGGCACACTGATATTTTTTTTAATTCAATAACCTAAAATGTTGTCGTTTTGATAATTGTAAAAACTAATACTCTTCCTAGGATTCGAACCCACACATTGAAGTCATAAACCTAATGCTCAACCAAATTATCACAATTTCTCAAACAATATACATCGTCACAATTATGGGTTCTTTCGGTAGTATATGTGATCTTCATAATTTTTTTCAGTCTTCATAAAACAGAAATAGGGTATATACAACACTGAGCATAAAATTTAGGTACATCATACCACACACTATAAACTATCAATATTGTATAATTCAACCCAATACAATTAACACTATATCCAATAACATTAAAAAATTGATAAAACTGGCTCGCACGCTTCTAGCAATTAACACTATCTGCGATTTTTGGTTATTTTAGACAATTGCTGCAATGAGAAATAATAAATCTAACAATCCTACAAAATTGGAAAATCGTTATAGTTGAAATTTAAAAATCCCAATTAAAATGTTTGTATTTCTTACACAATATTCGTTCTCATTCGAGGTAAATAACATTTTTCTACATAATTAGAGTTTTTCCTAAAAATTCTGGTGAATAATAAAAAATCAACAATAGCAAAAACTTTTGAAAAACGATATACATTTTTTATTACCTAAATTACTTGTATCTCACTCTACAAGAAGTATACTATCAATACTCTATCCAGATTTTGTTATAAAGTACTAACAGTATACTTCCTATCGAAAGTGAGCATTCACAAGTAATATAATTACAATAACTCTCTGGCGACACATTGAATAAAACAACTTTTTCTGATGTGATTCTCGACAGATGCACAAGAAATATTATGTAGAAAAATGTGTATTTTTCTTTCATGTAAACATACTTTTTGTACATCTGTCTGAATATCACATCAGAAGAATAATTGTAGTATGGATTGTGTTTGAGTGAGTAATTTTTGCTTGGTTAGTTGATCAAAATTCTCTTATGGGGTGTATTTATAGAATTCTTATAGAGTGACTTCTCATTTTTCTTCGCTCTGTTTCATATTCCCCAAAAGTTGTTTATAATTAAAATATATTAAATAACATTTGACTGATTTATAGCAATTTCCAAATGAAGATACAATTCGAAATAAATGAATACATATTCGCATAAAATCTATAAAATATGTTCATATATGTCACATTTCGATGAATAACTTACGATTTACGAACATAAAATTAATATATGTATTCATAATTACATGTATTCTTCATCTACACTTTCTTCATTATACATACCTAATTATAATTACTTAATCAGTTATACATCACGTATTGTTTATATTTACATAAAAAAAAAGATAGCCAATTGTAAGACACAATTCAATTTTTGTACTAATAACATACCATTCGGCCCAAATTTAGTAACACTGTACCCACACACACTATCAATTATCAATATTATAAAATTCGACCCAATAAACTTAACAATATACCCAATACAATTAAAATTTTTAAAAACATTCAAGTCCGCACATGCGTGCGAACCAGTATCCTAGTGTTAGTTAAACGATAAATTCGAAGTAAATCCGAATATTAACTTATTTCATTATCTATTATTAAAAACATTAACTAAAATTATTTTTCTGTTAACTTATTTCATTATCTATTATAGTAAATCCGAAGTGATTTGAGCTGTGGTTCAATGCACAGCTTTTGATGTCGTTTTGATTAATGAAATCCTTATGTTTTGATTGTTCAGCTGATGTTATATTTTGATTAGTATATAAAATAATGATTATTATTTTTTCTGTCGTTTTGGTGGAATGTTTTAAATTACACTTATGCCATTAATGAAAATACTCTATTCTGATTGGTCAGTTGATTATTCTGCAATTAAAAAGAAAATCTTGATTAAAAGAAAATATTCCATAATTAATACACAACAAAACATGGAGTAGAGCCCACAAAAATATATGGCATAATACCATTTTTTTGTTGACAATAAAAATATATATTTAACTGCTGATTGGTTAACAAAAAAATAACACAAACTTCAATGGTTAGTGACCTGAATTCTTATCTCATAGGTAGCAAGTTCGAATCTTAGACTAATTTAATTGTGTTGTTTTTTCTAAATTTCTCTCTTTCTAAATCAATTTTTTTAACCAATCGTGGATCAGATCTAGAGAAAAGTGAGCACAAGCCCATGTATGTGATAATTATAAAAAAATAGTTGATCACATCAATAATGAACAAATAAATAAGGAAACACATAAACACCGAATCGTTTTCTATATAAATAAATATTTTCTGCCTCCGCTTTTATTCATTCACTATTTGTTTTTTACGTTTTGTTCTAGGGTTTTGGCGATTGGTTACTCTACGTGGAAATACAGAAACATTATACATACCTTCCAATATATCATTTACACTGAATGAGATGGTAGCTGTGTTGGTTAGGTGCTTTGTCCGTTCAGCGAAAACTCACGGGTTTGAGTCATGGAGTTAGATTTTTTTTTAATTTTTAGATTTTTGTTACAATTCAGTGTTTGGAAATAATTTTTTTGCTACATATTTTGCAAATGAAAATATGTCATAATTTCCTTTGTTATTATTTAGAATGGAATCTTTACATTTTTATAGTTAATAACTATAAATTTCATGGGAAGATAATATCGTATATAGAACAAGAATTACCTTTTAGTATTTTTCATTAAAAAATAAGCCCTAGGTTGTTTACACGTATAAATATGAGTGTTTTAAATATTTTGCAAACGGATATATATCATAATTTCATTTGTTATTATCTAGAATGGAATCTTTACATTTTTTATAGTTAATAACTATAAAATTCATGGGAAGATAATATCGTATATAGAACAAGAATTACCTTTTACTATTTTTCATAAAAAATAAACCCTAGGTTGTTTACACGTATAAATATGAGTATTTTAAAACAATCGTCTCATAATTTACAGTTTAGTTTCTCTGTTAGATTTCCGTGTTTATTTTGCTAGGGTTTTTATAATAGCATTAACTTTTTGGATCTCTTTAGAAAAGATTCATCATGTTTGTCTATTTGCATGCAAACCTAACCATGTATTCGTCTAAGTACAGCTTTGATCATCCATCGAAAGTCATGATTACTTGGGAAGTTTCGTCTACTGCTTCGGATATATATCTAACTCTCCTCAAATTAATAATAATATATATGCTCTCTACGTTTTTAATGATTCTAAAATTTTTTTCGTCCATAGGTTTTGATAACCAGGCTTATGCTCGCGAGTTAAGATCTATGTTGAATTCATATCGTCATGATATGGATCAAAAAGAGATATCTGATTATCGTTACGTAACTCCATACGTTTTCATCGATATCACAAAAAAGGTTGTTGTGCCTTTTTTAGGTTATTCATGCAAGTTATAGTACTTATTAGTAATTATTTTGTATTTTTAAGTTATCCATGCAAGTTACTTATGGATCTTGCTATCGAAGAGTGGACCTTGTGGACATATAATCCTGTAATCGAAGGTTCGTAGTACTGTATTAATCTTACAATTTTGTACCTTTCGTAGTGTTGTATCTTAATCTTACAATTTCATATCTTTACTATATATTAATCTACGAACATATTCATTTTTATATAGATCTTGATTCTGCGTATTATATATCTATTCTTGATCAGAAGTTTTTGATCAAAGGAGGTATTTCTGCTCTTCCTGTAATATAATTTTGTTAATGATGTATATTAAAATTTTTATATGTGTTTATGTTTGTTCTGATGTTCGTTTTGTGTATTTAGGTTCTGATCATGTTAATTCGAGCGATCATGCTCACAAGACCTTTCTTTGGGATTTTGCGAGGAAGGTTTGGATTATAAATAAATAATCTAATGGTTTCAATGGTTCGTTTTTTGCTTTGAGCACCATTTTTTCCCTTTTTAAATATTTATTTTTAAATTATAACTACATTGTTTTTTCATATGTTTATCTATGCAGAAGATAATGAGTCTGATGATACCGAGGTGCTATCTGGCCGTGGTACTGATGATGATTATGGTTTTGAGGATTACATGGGGTTTGATGTTGAGTCGCACGATGATACCGATGATATGGACCAAACAGATGAATACCATTCTGAAGATGATTTTATTGACGACAGTGAGTCTTGTGAAGGATCTGATTGTTCAAGTGATAACTCGGAAGGTGATAGTGGTGATGATGAAGATGAAGATGATGACGATGCTGATTCGACTGATGATGATGAAGATGTTATGTTGGATGATGAGACTGAGAGTGACGATGATAGTGAGGATCACCAAAATGTCGAACCGAATGATATACTCATCGAAAAGAATATTAGTATATCGGGACACCAGAATTCGGTGTGTACTTATACAGTTTCTCTTGGTTCAATGTGTTTTGGAGGGTGTGTGTCCCGTTAGAGACCTTCCAAAGATGGTTGTACTATCTTTGTTAAGGTTTTACAGATGGGTGCATATGCTAATTTTGAAACGTTCTTCCCTGGAGCTCATATTATCGGATGAACAAGTATTTATTATAGTATAAGAAAAAATATTATAAAACTGTGTTGATGTCTAATTGACTACTTTATTCACAGAGTGTTAAAATTCAGGCCACTGTTAAAGATGGTGAGATCGATGTCGCAGCGTCTCGCATAGATGTTGGTAGTTGGATTATTATCAGTCGTTTTTCTGTTATCGAGTGTGAGGATAGTTGTAGACTGATTTCTCATAGATACAAAATATTGTTCCTACCATCAACTATCATTTACAAGACTTCACGTGTAGTGAAAACGCTTATTTTGACTTTGTTAATTTTCAAAGGATATTGGATCGTGCCTATAATGATGACTATTTAGTTGGTGTGTTTATTTTCGGTTTAGATATTGAATTTTGTTATTATTATGTTGCTGATGTTAATATGGTTTAGTTTTTATTGTTTATGAAGATTTGATAGGTCGGGTGTTAAATGTAAGTCGATCTGGGACGTGGTGTGGTTTACTCTCTGGAGAGCATCATGTTCCTTCCTATGGCAGTCCATGTAAGGATGTATATGATTCCGAAAATGAGGTGCATATTCAACTGTAATATTCTGTCTGAGGGATAAACGGTACTGTCTGCTGAGTGTTTTTAAACTATATATTATCGTTTTATTTGTTCTGTCTAGCTGATTATGTGTGACGTGTTTTAATTTAGTAGTGTTAATTTGAGTTGTGAATTATCCGGTGAGATGGCTAAAAGCTTTTATGCATCTTGGAGACGCTGTGATCAGGATGGAACGACTTCATCATCAATTCGATTTAAGATAATAGATGACGAGTAAGTATATCTCAAACTATTTGTTTGAAGTCTAACTAACTAATTCTTAACTACATTGTTTGTCAAAATATAGGAAATTTATGCTTGAGTGTGTTGCACACGGTGAGTTGGCAACTGAAATAAGAGATAAGTGTAGAGAATACGAATGTCCTTTTGCTATATGTGTGTTAACCGATTGGTGTGTAGCAATTGGCGGGGGTATGTTTGTTTTCTGATGATATACCAATATGTTATTTATAAAATCGTAGTATATAATGTAACAATATTCTAATATATATATTTTAGAGAATGTGTCTATCAAGGATCATGATGATAACGGTGTGTCCCGTTTTATCACTGATTCACCGATTGCTGAAATTTTAACCTTGCGCAATAGGTAAATATGTTTCTCTGTGTTGTCTAAATTGATTTATGAAAAAAAAACAATATTTAGATCTGCTAAATTGCGTAACAGTAATTTACCAACCTTATGTATACCTGTTTTCTGTTATTAAAATTTCAGGATTAGGGAGAGATTAGATGGACTGGATACAGATGTTGTCTAATGGATTGGACCGAGTATAAGGATTCAAAATTGATAATCCAGATGCATTATTAGTTTTGTTAGACACATTTTTTGGTATTTACAAGTCTGTTTTGCAATAATTAATAAATAATAATTTATTCTAATTTCAGTTTAAATTACTAATCTTTCTTCCCAACCATTTCTTTTATTTTTTTCAAAACATTATCTCCATGGCTACATATAACTTTGTTGATGAGTTACATGCATCGAGACGAGATTGAAAAATCTGTGTCAAAGTTTTGAAAAGATGGAGTAAACCTGATCGACAAAGCTTACCAGGGATGAATTTCATTTTAGTCGACGAAAATGTAAGTATTATCTAATATGAATATATAACTGTTTTGTCTATATTTATTGTTTGTTTGATCTCTTTTCAAAACTCATTGTATATAGGGCTGCAGAATTAATGCTTCATGTGGTAACCTCGCCTTTCCATATTTTTACCGTGTTGGGACTGAAGGACTGTGGTTTGAATTGTATAAATTCGGCTTGACATCATTTGAATGGAAGAATGAGGGAAGGACAACGAGACACAATTATCAGATCGTTCTCACTACTGAGACAGAAGTCTCAAGCCTACGACCATTGACAATGGATCCCTTTATGAAATTTGTCCCTTTTAGTGAGATATACAGAGTTCTTTACGCTCAGTTGTATCTTGTTGGTAAAATTAACTTATAATATTCTTTTTAGTGTTTTCATCTATAAATTTGTACATATATAGAAAAAAAATATATAAAGTTCATTTATGATAAAACTTTCTCTCATAATTGATTTGTAGATCTCATTGGTGTGATGGAAAATGTTAGCAACATTGAAACAGAAAATAACCCTGATGGAGAGATTGTTCAGAAAATAACTTTCACCATCAAAGATCTCGAGTAAGTTATATTTTCTCTCACGATCACTATGTCTTGGTAACAAAGTTTGTAATTTAAATTGTTTAAATCAAAAGGATGTGAAGTTGAAATGTATCGCATACGGAGAATTTACCGCTGATATCAAAGAAAGAACCAAATGCTTCACTGGTCCTTTTGCGGTTTCTGTTTTAACCGATTGGAGTGTAAATAAAAAAGAAGATATGAATAATCAAGTATATGTCACTATTATTTTTATTTTGTCCCATATATGTTTTATATTGCATGTATATTTCTTATTAATCATTTTATGCGTGTAGATGAAATAACTATCTATTCACATGAAGCAATTGGTTTTTCCTGTCTTCTCCTTGATCCTAACACTGATGATGCCCTGATTTTTAAGAGAAAGTAAGTAATCTAAAAATGATAATTGGAGAATTTTATATATACAACAATTTTACAATATGTATATGTCTCTTACACTTCCATGATTCGGGAGAGGTGGAGCACATTTTAGACACAAGTTGGAACAAGGATAAAAAGGTACTCCTAAACCAGATATATATAATAATACTTAATGGAGTAGTGTTCTCTTAATTTCTTTGTATAAGTATTTATATAACTTAAAACTTGCGTGTTGAATTTTATTATTTATTTTGATATTTCTTTTTATTATATTTTCATCTACAATTTAATTTTTTTATTATTATTACTAATTATATTTGGTAGTCGTTTCTAATAATATTACTTAATAGGTACATACGATTTTAAATAATCTAATATATGATTGATATTAATCGATTTAAAATAATAGTAATGGATGTTTAGTATTTTTATGATTTATGTTTATATAATATTTTAGTCTCAATTAATTGGAAATAAAAATGTGATGATTATATTATAAAAATTTCTAAAATCAAATTATAATAAGATTTGTATGCTGATTGTGATTGCGCGAGGACAGATACCTAGTCGTTACAAAATATACAGAGAGATTTTTGAAGAATACGAATTCAGACAATATAATCTAAATACGATAACTGTTTTGGATGCAAACAATTTTGTAATTTCGGGTTCATCAGTTAATTTTCATCAAGAAAAAATAGCAAAATGTTTCTAAATCGCTGATTGAAGAATCTCGTTAAAGGTCAAACCCGAACATCTCCACGAATTCGTGGAGGTTTTTAGACAGCCTGGTTTATTTGAGACACCAAGTCTCGTCTTGGAAGGTATCACGAAACTTTCAAAAAGTCAAACTCTTAAGAAACGTGAAGGTAACCATTAGAAGACGCAATCTTACTCAAATTTAGTTTAGAGTGTAAATAAATAGGTTTTGGTCGTTTTAAAATTATTATTCGTTAAAGCTGTCATCAGCCAAGTTCAGAGAATAGGTCGTTTTAAATTTAGTATTCGTTAAAGCTTTCATCCATAGTTGTGTGTTTATATAATCTTAATGGCCTTTAACATACCCTCAATGGTCGAAATACAATAAATTGTAATTCTACGTAGGGCTGTCAATACATGGTGGATGAACCCATCTCGCACTGTTTATTAACAAGTTGAGGCCATGACTATTAACAAGTTGAGGAAAGAATGTTATTGAATTCAAGTCTTGACTTGTTCTTTTCTAATCGAGCCAGGTCTTCCTCTCTCGCTCATTCATCATCCTGGGCAGTGAAATCAGTAGGTTTCTTTCTGAAGGTTTGAGCGAAGATGGGAGGCTGTGTATCAATACAGTTATCATGTGATAAAGCTCAAGGAGTTTTTGAAGTGGTGGCGGATAAAGCTCATGTACCAAAGGTGGGGGAGAAAGATATTCAAAAAACAGTTGGTTTGGATTCAATGGTTGAAAAGGCATGGAGCAGCATCATGGATTCTGAAAATAGAATTTTAGGTCTTTATGGTATGGGGGGAGTAGGCAAAACAACCCTCTTAGCTCGTATCAACAACAAATTCGCTGAAGTGGTGAATGAATTTGGTGTTGTGATATGGGCCGTGGTCTCTAAAGATTTGCAAATCGAGGGCATTCAGAATCAGATTCTGGCAAGATTACGCCAAGACAAGGAATGGAAGGAAGAAACAGAGGAAGAGAAAGCCTCTTCCATCAACAATATCCTTCGCAAAAAGAAATTTGTGTTGTTACTAGACGATCTATGGAGCGAGGTTGATCTGGACAAGATAGGAGTTCCATCTCCAAAAGCTGTCGATAATGGATCGAAGATAGTTTTCACCACTCGTTCAAAAGAAGTTTGCAAAGACATGAAAGCTGACGATGCGCTGAAGGTTGATTGTTTGTCATGGGATGAAGCGTGGGAACTGTTTCAAAACACTGTTGGAGAAGCCACATTGAAACGCCATGAGGAAATTGCAGAACTTGCAAGGGAAATTGCTAAGAAATGTTGTGGCTTGCCACTTGCACTCAATGTTATTGGCAGAGCCATGGCATATAAAGAAGGTGTACACGAATGGCGTTATGTACTTGAAGTTCTCAACTTGTCTAGCCACAAATTTAAGGGTATAGAAGAAAAAATTCTTCCAATTCTGAAGTTTAGCTATGATGGTTTAAAGGATCAAAACGTCAGATCGTGCTTCCTATATTGTTGTTTATTCCCGGAAGATTATGAAATCGAGAAGGAGGAGTTGATAGAATATTGGATCGGCGAAGGATTTATAAATGGAAAGAGAGATGAAGATGGGAGTAACAACGAAGGTCATGATATAATTGGTACGTTAGTTCGTGCACATCTATTGATGGATGTTGACCGTGATGCAATCTCAGGAGAGAAGGTGAAAATGCATGATGTTTTACGCGAGATGGCTCTTTGGATAGGAAAAGAGGAAGAAAACTTGTGTGTCAAATCTGGTGCGCAATTACGCCGTATAACAAATGACATCATCAACTGGGAAGTTGCGAGAAGGATATCGTTGATGAGTAATCAAATTGAAGAGATATCTTGCTCTCCCGAGTGCCCCAACCTCTCGACCCTATTACTCGGTAATAACGAGTTGAAGTTTATTTCAGGTGGATTCTTTTGGTTTATGAAAGCCCTCGTTGTCTTGGATCTTTCTCGAAATCGTGGTCTTTGTGCATTGCCGGAAGAAATTTGCAGCTTGAGTTCCTTAGAATACCTCAATTTATCAACCACAAATATAGTATCGTTACCAGTTGGTTTGAAGGGGTTGAGGAAGCTAATAAGCTTGGACCTGGAGCGTACTGATCAACTTGAGAGCATTGATGGGATAGGAACAAGCTTACCAAATCTTCAAGTGTTGAAACTAATTGGTTCCGGTGTCTATATTGATGCAGGATTAATGAAAGAGCTACAACTCTTAGAGCACTTGAAGATTTTAACAGCGAACGTAAAGGATGCTTCGATTTTGGAAAGTATCCAAAAAGTGGAGCGATTGGCGAATTGTATTCGAGGTTTAAACCTACGATGGATCTCAGCAGAGGTTGTAGTATTAAACACGGTAGCTCTGCGTGGTCTTCAAAGCCTTGGGATTTGGAGCTGCGAAATCTCAGAGATAAAGATAGAATGGGAAAGCAAAGAAAGAGAAGAGCTTCTCTGTACAAGTTCTCAAGGCTTCAAGCACCTCTCCGATGTTGGTATAATCGGTTTGGATGGTCCAAAGGACTTGACGTGGCTGTTGTTCGCTCAAAATCTCAGGGAACTATCTGTGATGTTCTCAAAAAGCATAGAAGAAATAATAAATAAGGAGAAAGTAATGAGAATCAGCAATTGGCATCCACATTTGGCGGTTCCCTTTGGGAAGCTTCAAGTCCTGAAATTAGATGCTTTAATTAGATTAAGGAGCATTTGCTCAAATACCATGGTTCTTCCAAACCTGAGAAAATTTGTTGTCTACCACTGCCCAAAACTGCCCAAAGCTGCCACTGAGTTTCCTGAGACAGTAGCAGCAGAAATAACAACTGATTAGAATGGGAGAAAGAGGCTCCGAAGCCGTTGCAAATGCGTGTGAGTGTGAATGTGTTCTTTCAATTCTAGATTTGGTTTTGTGTTTTATGTTACTGCTTTTGCTTTGTATGAAATTGTTGTTGTATAAGTTTGCATATTTCAATAATTCAAAGTCTGCCTTTGATTGTATCTTCTCTGTTCTTAATTTAGGCTCTGAAGCCATAACAATGTGTGGATTGTATCCTCTCTGTTCTTAATGCGGTTTTGGGTTCTAAGTTTGCATTCCTCAAAGACTAATTGGGAATTTAGAATGTTTGATACAGAAATTTTCGTCTCTCCTTCAACCTTTATCGATTCAGTAGAGTAATTTCAATTAATCCAATCACCCAGCGAAAAAGGCCGCAACATTAAAGAAGACCGATCCACAAAGTTGGGTTCACATTCATTCTCATAATTAGAGCTCTTTGGAGCACATTCACATTCGACGATTTTGATAATCTTCTCTCTTCGTTACAGAGTAATTTAAGAACAATTGCAATTCAGAATCTGCCAATCAATGCAAAAATCTCATTTCATTTGATCTAATTTGCTCAGGTAAAAATCATGACAACTTCGATTGATTGAAGATGGAAGAATGTAGAGAATCTCAATCATATTTTGAGGGATCAAATGAAACAGTTAGGTTCAAGTTTTAAACAGAATCCCAAAATCTTAAAGAAAAAGATTCATATGGCATAAAGGGGTAAACAGAGAAGAAAATCGCTACTTTTCAAAGTATCCTTTACTTTTTCCAGCATCATCAATGGCTTTAAAGGTCTCATGCTTGATTTTATTGTCGGAAAAGTCTTTACTGCAAGTTTAATTTGGTTTCAGCTTTTTACCCAGATTTATATGGACAATTTTACTTTTAGTAAAACCTGAAGTTTCAATTTTAACAGCAAACGTAGAAGTGGAGAGATCGGCTGAGTAGTATTCGAGGTCTATGTCTACGGAATATGTCAGAAGCGGTTGTAATGTTAAACACGATAGCTCTACTTCATATTCGGTACTCCAGAATCTCGGAGATAAGTGAAGAAAGTGAAGAGCTTCTATGTACAAGTTCTCAAGGCTTCAAGCACCACTCCTCTGTTCATATAGACCGTTTGCAAGGTTCCAAGGACTTGACCTGGCTTTAATTGATCTGTATGAATCAAAAAGAATTTGCAGGAATCCTCAGGCTCTTCCAAACCTAAGATTTTTTTTTTATCATCGAAATATTTCCAGAGCAATGCAGATGAGGAGGACCAAGGTTCATCTGATCATGTAACAGCAGAGTAGTTGATTTGGTTCTGTTGTTTTGTACGTTTTGTTACTAAAGTATATTTACTTTCTTAAGTCAATGCTTGTTATGTGTGTATTGTGACAGTATTATAGACAGAGATCTCTTCTTTTGATTATCAATAGCTGGAATCATATTATTCTCTTGTTAGCCTCGTTGTAAAGGGATGATCATGATCTTGATGATACTGGGAGAAGTGAATGGGAAGGGTTTCCTTCTGACGCAAGTGACCTTTTCTCTGGAACCCTAATTAACTAGCCTCTAATCGGAAAGTCTCAGAGTTTATGTGCAAGACAAGATTTTAGAATACATGAACAAAAGATATATTCAACTCCTTTAGTTTTTTTTTTAAGAAATAATTAAAAATATAGAAAAAAAAAACATAACTATTCTCCCCTTATAATTTATGTAGTAAATTTTGTCCTTTTAATATTTCTACAAATAATTTAATTTTTTTTCTACCCTTTAAATCAAATTACCCATAATAATAAAAATTTATAATACAGAATTTAAAACATTTTAAACTAAAATATAAAAAGTAAAAAAACAAAAATATTTACCCTTACACTTTGTAGAATCCACCTCCTACCATCATCTTCTTCTTCAAAAAAAAAAAAAAATCAACGTCACACTTCTTTTCTCCGGTGTAGTCTCCGCCAGAACTTCTTCTCTATTTTCACTCCGGTAAGTCAAAATCAACTGCCGTCCTCCTCTTATCTCATCTGCTTACTTTCTTTGCTATTTCGTTTCAATCGATTGAATTGTTAGGGTTTGAAAAAGAAAAATATATTCCCTAAATTTTTGACACCTGATCCTAAATTTTCGAAGATTTAGTTAACCGTTTTGTAGAAGAAGGCATCCATGAACGCTAGCAACTCGTTTCCGGCAGTTGTTTCCACCAGATGATCGATGTGCGTCAAAGGAATTTGTCTTTGTGATAGGCCTCGTTCAGATCGGTGAAATCGATAACAAATCTTTCACTTGACGTTCTTTTTCTTTACTACCACCGGATTCGCCAACCAGTCCGGATATCGGACTTCCATGATCGAACTGATCTTAAGGAGTTTTTCGACCTTGTCGTTGATCTTGTGTGCCTTTTCTGTACCGAGCTTACGTCTTTTCTGTTTAGTTGGCTTATAGATCGGGTCGATGTTTAGCTCATGGCAGGTGATCTCCGGGCTGATCCCTGGCATGTCGTCGATGGACCACGCAAATGTAGCGACATTCTTTCGAAGGAAATTGATCAGTGCCTCTCAGATATCTTTGTCGAGTTCAGTGCCTATTCCTACGCATCTCTCCAGATTGGTTAATGCCGACCTGTTCGACGATGCTTTGCTTTGGTTAACCGAATTCGCCTACCAAAGACAAGGCGTCTTTCTGGCAGGGGCTTATAACACATGTTCGCGCAAGACTGAGTTTGCACTCGGTGAGATGATATAGCCGGGATATGTTTTGACTTCTTTTTAGTGTGTAAATTCCTGATGGGGTTGGGAACTTTATGCACTGGTGGAAGGTAGACGCCACTCCTTTCATGACAAATAACCAAGGGGTACCCAGAATGGCGTTATAAATCGCCAGTTTGTTGAGAACTAGAAATTTGATCATTATGGCCAATCCCCCGACGTAGCCGGTTATAATCGCCAGTACTTTTACTGTGCCAACAGTCATCGTCCTTTCTCCAATGCAGCCGGTTAGTGATTCTATATAGGGTTTGATTTCTGAGTCCGGGAAATCCATGTTCTTGACGGTCTCCTTAAAGATGACGTTTACCGAGCTTCCGGTATTGATCAGTATCCTGCTTACCTCGACATCGCCGAGCTGTAGTTCGCGACGAAGCAGTCATTGTGGGCATATGTATTCCGTGCAGGTTGGCGTCGGTAAAGAGTAGAGGCACTTTTTCCGTTGTCGTGGGAGGGTGCGTACTCGAAGCTTGGCGGTTATTCTCTTTAGTGCTCTAATAACACCGTATTTTGACCACTTTTATGGATCATTTTGAAATAGTTTTTATATGTTTTTTATGCTTTCAAGTACTTTTATTACGTTTTTCTAGTATTTGTAGTTCCAAGACTCTTTTCAGGAAACTTAGGGAAAAACTTAACAAAATGGATGGAAAACCAGATTTTCAGCTCAGAGTCAAACCGTCAGAAGTTCACCCCCGATTGAAGGCCTTTTCACCGTCTGATCCAGCTCAAATTTGGAGATCTCAAAGATGGAAGTATCAGCTTTCCAGCACACTTTACAGCTTGGCAATCCAACGGTTCAACCAAAAGATACGCGAAGAACAAGATGTCCAGTAAACCAACCAGCAAGCGTTTCCACCTGCAGCCAACAGCCCGTTCCCCGCGGTCACGCACATCCCGACCGCGGGCAGCCATCCATTCCTCGTGTTCACACACTTCCCGATCGCGGCCAGGCAACTCCGAGTTAGAAGGCCCATTTCTGAAACCCATATCATTTTCCCAGCCTCAATTTCGGAACCCTAGAAACCAAAGAGCATTGGAGACTATAAATACATGTCATTTAGGTCGTTTTTAGGGAGAAAAGAAGAGAGACGAAATACTTAGAAGAATTTTACTTTAAGCTTTTGTTTTTAGGTTTTAGGGAGAGAGAGATCTATCTCTTGAACCCTTGTTCTTTCTTTTTCAATTTTGGTTTCATTTCTACTTTTTAATACTATATTTTTGATTTCGTTCATCATGTCTGAGTAGTTTTATTGTTGGGTCTAAGGGATTTTTGATGGGGACACATATGTTCGATGAGGATTCCATGAGCTATTGAACCCGAATCTTAGAACTTTTTCTTCTGAATTTATTTTTACTGCATGAGAGTAGCGTCATGAACTACAATCTGATCCAGATGCTTGGTGACACGAAAGTGTTCATCCGGTATCAGATCTAGTTTGGGAGAGCAAAACAAACATAGGAGTGGAAACCTACCTATGGGCGATTTGTGAATGATGACGAGTCTTAAACATAATGCATCTTTTCTCTTCCAGGGCCAGAGTGGAAACCTACTGGTCAGGGTTGAGAGAGATAGTTGTCTATGATCACGACAGTGGCGTATTCATACGTCCGTGACTCTAGTTCGAAAAGTTTAAGCTAAGATCTTATCAAATTTACTCTCTAGCAATGTTTTGAATCGTTCATACCCCTGAGAAAACTTTCCTGAAACCCAGCGCCTTCTTTTCCTATAGATTTACACCGATTTTCATTCAAGTTTTAATTTAGTATTTTCATTCTCTCAATCGATTTTCATATAAGCAATTAGGTTTAGCCGTTTTTCTCGTTTTCAGTCGTTTTTGTTAAGTTTAGTTATTAGGTCATTTTAATTCCCGTATTTTCTCGTTAAGATTAGTTTTTACGTTTTAAAGACACCACCAAAACCCTCACAAAAATCGCCTGGTTCTAGACTTCCTTATTTTATATTTCTTTCGAAGGCTTTTGCAGAAAAGATCCTCCTTCCATGTGGATTCGATCCCTAAGTACTACAATCGATCAGCTGTGCACTTGCGGCTATTGATTTTGTTTAGGGTAAATTGACAACCCTCACGACAGCACACATCAAGTTTTTGGTGCCGTTGCCAGGGAAGGCACGCGTTTTCTTTTGCGCAAAACCCTAAGAAAGGTTGGTAAATCGACTCTAGAACCTTTTTCTGCATATTTCCATTTTTCGGTTATTTTGTTTCCATTCTGGAAGCTATGGAT